GGCAGATAAAGCAGCCCTACCAGCAACCATGCAATCTCGAGTTAGTAGCTGTGTACCCAGTGCTAGATGCCGTCTCTACGCCCCGGTCACGGCCGTCACGCCAAAGTCAGACCCAACAAACCATTCCAACCCAGAAAAAGACCAGGCTACATGAGTGTAGCGAAGTGCAACGTTCGCATCCGACCATCTCCGCACTCCCGCAGCTGGAATGGATACCGTGGAGACGGGTGACGGGATATCAGACATCAGGGAACACTAATCACGTTGTGTCGCATGTCGAACTGATAAGAGACCTTCAGGCGAGCGAGGTGGCCAGGGGTGTAAGATAAGTAAAGATCCCGGGGTTATGGATCCAGGAACGACCCAACCAATGAGGAGTGCAGAGTGAGGTTTGGTGGAGAGGCATCCTGGGAGATACGCGCATTCAGATGCGGAGATATCTTGGGTAACGAGGTGGCGTAAGGCGAGATAAGTGATTGAATGATTACTCCGAATTGGAGTTTGGAGGTGGATCGGGAGATGTTGGTGGAAAGTTTTTTCCGGGCTTGAAGAATCATTAGGGAATTTACAACGGTTGATGCTGTTCTCTGCTCTCCCCACATGAAGTCTGGAATGTGGGTTTGATGCGTGTTGTGACAGAACGGAAGACGGGCGTCCATCGAGCCGCTTACGCCCGCGCTATCCCCCACGCGTGCTAAGCGGCTCTGGTAGTCCTCCATTGGTCGTGCGACTTGATACCATGCGATGCAGTGACATTGGGGCGTAAATTCGAGATCCATGGAGAAACAAGGTGTGATACGCTGACAATGGCTGTGCGGTCGGGAAGTACAAATGTCTTCAGCGAAAAAAAGAAAGTAGATTGGTCCACCCACGTCCAGTGCATTGTCACCACAGCTTTTTAGGTGACATGCGCCGGATGAGAAGGCTGTAGTGACATGCGCTATATGCTATATTTCTTGTTTTGTAGTTACAGCTCAATGGGGTGCAACTACAAAACAACAAACATAGCATATAGCGCATGTCACTACAGCCTTCCTGTGGTTATATTTCTTAGATACTGTACACAAGATAAACAAACGCACCTTCAACTCCGTGTCCCATGTCATGTCGCTCTGCCAGAGGTCCAGTGATTACATACGTTTCGTCCTCATTTACGCGTGAGCGATATCCGTTTCTAGTGACATATTCAATCCATCTTCGATCCAACTCATTCCGTGTGAAAGAAAGCAGGCTCACGCGCTGCGCATCTCGGTATCCTCGGCATCGTCCACGTCGCCAATCTTCCGCTTGCTAGGCGTCGCGCTGCCCTCGTCGCCGTTGTCGTCGCCCTCGGTCCACTCGGTGACTTCCCACTCGACGTGCACGCCGCTCTCGGAGTGTCCGCCGCGCTGCTGCTTGAAGCGGCCCAGGCGGGTGTTGCGCACAATCTCTTCGAACCAGGGCGCGCCTCGCGATTGCGGTTCTGAGCGGACGACTGTGCGCGAGCGGTTTGTCCGTGAGGGTCCGGCGACGGATGTCTCGTCCTCGTCGTCGCTGCTCTCGCTGCTGCTGGGCAGGAAGCCGAGTTCGCCTAGCATGTCTTGGTCTTCGTCGAGCAGGCTGCCGACGGTCAGGGAGATGTGCTCGGCCTCGTCTCTCGTCCGCTCATTCCATGACGAGAGCTGTGTGCCGCAGTATCCGCAGAACTGGCGGCGGGTATTCGAGGTGTAGGGGTTGACGAAGCTGCGCTTGATGCTCAGGCGCGTCTCGTCGGGGTATTGGGCAAACGTCGCCGAGGTGTACCATGGCAGAGGGACGCGGAGCCAGAGTGTGAGGGGGTTCGCTGAGTGGTGTCCTGTGATGTTGTTAGCACCGTGTTGGAGAGTAGCGTGCGGCAACCCAAAGCAGACTTGGGCTGCACAACACTCGGCGTGTACTTACGCGACGCAGAGGTATTGTCGTATCGCAGCTCGGCCTGGCGAATCTGCTGTGTCGGCATCTCAATGACATAGCGGTTGCGTCCGCACGCGCAGGAGCCGTGTAGCGTCTGCGTCGCCATTCCGGGCTCGTAGAGGTTTGGATGAAAGCGGTTCGCGTGGTGTATTCCGGTGCAGACAATGCCTCTGCCCATATAACTCTATAACTCGCGATTGACGTGTTTCAGTGTCTGCGGCGTGGCGTGTGGAAAGAAATCGAAATTGGCTGCTGCCCGTCGCGCCTTCCCCAGCTGTTGTGCAACGGCCCGTGCTGCGATTGGTTGACCGTCAGCCTTGTGGTATGCCGACCAAGGTTTACCCTTTCACGTCACCTGGACAACTGTAATGGCCGTGTAAGAATGCGATAATGTTTATTTCGAGTCGGTAGCTATAGAGGATATTCGAGATATTCGTCGCGAGGCATATGTACTGCGCCATGCAAAAAGTGACAGTCATGGACCCTCGTGATACAGCCTGTCGTCATGTGTGGGGAAGCTCATGAGAGAACATTCGAGCACGCCCTGGCCCCTTCGCGAACCAGAACCTCGCTGTCGTCAACCGCTCTTCTTCTTCTCTTCTTCCCTCATCTTAGCAACACTCTCGTTTACTCTCTCAATCGCCTCCCTCGCCCCATCCCAGCACTTCCTCTTGCCTGTGCTGAACACGCGATGTATGTGCGGACTCCATATCCCGCCCATCAGCAGGTTGCAGAACTTCCTGTTCTGAAGCCAAAACAGCCAGCCTTTCCACCCGTATCCCAGGTACTCATTGACACCCGTACCGGCAAGATCGTCCATGGCCGCGACCCAATCACCTGTCTCACATTGCCCTGGCGACAAGTTGTAAACACGCTTTGCCGTCTCTGCTAGCCGTACGTGGTGTTCATCCACAGCGAGCTTCATATCCGGAAGTGATGGTAGAGAGGATTTTCCCGCCCAGACCTGGGCTATAGCCATGGTTGTCAAGTCTAATCGTCGTCAGCACATGTCTCGCCTAACCACCATACCTAGAGTCGCTCACCGAAAATCTTAAACCCACTAATCGTTATGTGTACAGCAGCCATGAACGCCAGACTATCCGGCTTCTCGAGTGAAAACACGTTCTTGTAGAGACGGAAGAGTGACTTCCCATTCGAGCCCGGCGCGTCGAGCCACGCTTGAGGCCGACATTCAGGATTGAATCGCGGCTCGATCATGCTGAAGTCGTACTTGTAGCCCGTACACCAGATTATTGCGTCCACGTCAACTTTTGTCCCGTCTTGCAACTCTACCTGAGTAGCATTCACAATGCGTTTGATGCCTGCGACTGATGTGATGCTGCCGTCCTCGAGGCAGGGGACCAACGTATCAGATACCACTGGTACCTTACTTGCGGGCTCGAAGCGCCATTCAGGGCGGATGTTGAAGCTCTGGTCTTGCAGTTTCTTGAGGAATTTATCGAAGAGGAACTCGCCGAGGCGAGGGAAGTATTTTATGACGAGACTTTGGAAGGTGGCGAGACGTAGGTTGTGCGTGTGGTCTATCGGGACACCCTTTATGCGCCGTGGGAACTACAAGACCATTGTCAGTCTCAATACCTTTGCAGATCGACAGATAGTCTTCGACTTACAACTCGAGCTCCATGCCGATGTGCCAAATACACTTTATCTGCTATTCCCACCAGCTGGGTAGATGTATCCGCGGCACTGTTGCTGAACCCTACAACCATGACTCTCTTCCCCTTGTAGTCTGCCGGCCGCTTGAAAGCTTGCGAGTGTACACTGGGTCCAGCAAACTTTTCCACGCCTTCTATGACTGGCAGACTGGCCTTACCAACCATACCCCCAATCGCTACAACGACTTTATCAAAGTACTCCTTCCTGCCACCTTTCACATCTACAACCCATTTCTCTCGCTCATCATCAAACGTGATTTGCTCAATGGCAGTACTAAGCCGCATATATGGTTCCAATCCGAAATGCTTCGAATAGTCTGTCAAGTATTGCTGAACCTGCGTAGCCGCTGGATGTGACGGTACGTCGTCCGGATAGGGGAAGTCAGTGTAACACGATCGTTCTTTTGAGACGTTTACGGTTGTGGTTTGCATTACCGACGTTTGCTCTTTCTCCGAGTACTGCCATAATCCGCCGACGTGGTCGTTGCGGTCGAAACCTGTGGCGTGGAATCCTTCTTCCCGCAGGTTCTTTAATGCTACGAGGCCAGCCGGTCCTGAGAGATTCGGTTAGTTGCTTTGTTATGTCAAGTCAGAGGTGTTCTACCTAGTCCTATGACTGCTACAGTGGGAGCGTCTTCCATGATGCTAGTCGTGATGATGCGTCTTCGCGTGTGTTTCTTGCCACCTGCTCTTCAGACCAACACAGCGATCGCACTCGACGCCGCAACAATCGTGTTGTTTAGTAGTTTTGGTAACCGTAACGCGATCACTTCCACGCCGAAAGCGAGTTGACCCTAGATATCGCGTGTGGACCTTAAGGCCGTGTTGTTAGGCCGAGCAAGTCCGACGAAAGTGGAAGGGAAGACCAAAGCTACCTAGGTATACTTGACGTCGCGCACTCCGCCAACACATCGAACTCTTACATGCTCTACTGTAACACACATGATGCGCTATATCAGCGCTGACATCTTGGTGTGCCGAAACAGGAGAGGCTTGGGTTTTGTAATTGGCTCTTTGGCCACAAAGACGCCCGAGGCTTACGCCACGGCCAGCCCCACGCTCTCACACGCCGTTTCCCATCTCAAGTTGCTGCGCAGCTGCGGCTCTCTTGCCCACGCGTCATATCTGACAGGTTGTGTCGTCTTACTGGGCGTTGAATAGTGCTAGACGCAACGCGTGGTTTTGAGTTGGAAGTTGCGATTGGGCATCTCCCCCGCATCTGAAGGCAGCAGCTTCCTGTGAGGCTGTGCAGGGCAGTGGAGTAGGTACGAATAAACAAGCTTCTAGTTCGACCTTTACGCCTCAACTTTAAGTACGCTTTCTCTAAGTCCCACGTCTTACTTTACATCGTCACATTGAATCAATACTGGCCTTTTGTGATTTACTTCAACTATGGCCGGCCCACCATCATACCCCGCCAATACCAACCTCACCTCCAACCCACCACCCCCATCGACATCATCACAGTCCAACGTCGCATTCACACCAAGTGCAACATCAGTCGCCGACTCCTCAGACAATGAATTCGAGCCAACCCCCGTCCACAGCCCAGGCGGTCCACAATATGAAGATTTGCCACCATCCTACGACGAGGCGCGGGACCAAGCCGTCCACGACACCCGTCATGGCATCGCGCCCGTAGACCCCAGCCAAATCGAAGCCCACCGCATCACCACCAACGAAGGACCAAACGAGCCAGAAGTATGGGAGTACCGCGTAAGAGGCGAAGAAACAGATCCGGCAAGTGAACAGGAGCAAGCACCGGATTATGCGAATCATACAAACGACAAGGCCACCAGTGTTCCAGTCCAGCATGTCAGTACGAGTGAGAACATCGCAGTGGGACGAGTGCATAGCGGATCTACTTCCTCAAGCAGCAAAGAGAAACAGCCTGATCTAGCTTCTGACCTGCTCGCCCAAGCTCTGGAGTTCAGCCGTGAAGAACCAGATGCGAGGGCGCAGTATGCACCGCATCTAAACCGCATCATCGCGATACCCGAGCATGCAGGACCAGCAAGACGTGCAGACGAACACGTATACTTCCTAGTTGCGTACGCCGAAGTGTTGGACCGACATTCCATCAAGCCAGCCGAATTTGCTGAGTTCTTGTACGGTCTACAAGTCCTGACCACAGCGGCGCACACGACGGCTGAAGACTTGCTTCTTGAACCGACACATCAAGGCCTTCCTTCCAGCATCGTACACGACTACATCCGAGGAGCGAATGAAGCTTTCTTCGCGCCAAGAGGTCTCGTGGTATCTTTCCGCAGCGAGACTGCGCTTCTAGACATGCTACCCATACCCGCAGGCCACAAACCCAGCGTTCTCGCCAACCTGGCCGATAAGACTGCAACGGCTGAATGGCGTGCAAGGCAATTATACCCCTGGATCGAAGCTCTCGACGGGGACGCAGTGCCCATGCCGAGCGAGAGAGTGCTTAAGCTGCATGAGATGAGTGAACGTTTCTCGGGTCATACGACGGCTACTGGCTCGTCTGATTATGCTGGAAACAACGGTCTCGAATCTACTGGTGCACATGAAGACCCTCCTCACTCCATCCCCGGACCTCCAGAGGAATCCCCCCACGCACACGGTCGACATGGACGAGGCGCCCATCATCCGCGTGGCAGACGAGGCGGTCACTGGTCGCCGTTTGGTATGCCAGGCCATGGCCCCTTTGGTGCACCCGGTAACGGTCCTTTCGGCGCTCCCGGGTATGGGCCTTTCGGGTGCGGCAGTCGAGGACCTTTCGGGCCCCGAGGCAACGCCTTCTTCGGTAGAGGAGGCTGCTCCTCTCGTGGCGGACGTGGACGCGGACGTGGACCCCCACAATCCGGAAACGAGTGGGCAGAAGTAGGCAAAGAATTAGGCAAGATTGGTGAGCAATTCGGTAGACATATGGGTGATTTGGGTGTGGAGATTGGGAAGCGTGCGAGTGCTTTTGGGGTGGAGGTGGGTAGGATGGCTGGGGGGAATGCTGGTGGAAGTGGAGGTGGGAATGCAGGTGGAAGTGGAAATGCAGGTGCAAGTGTGAGTATGAGTGGCAATAGAGGGCCTACTATCTCAGGTCCTGCCTCGTACGAGCAAGTCCACAACGACCTCCCACCTGCTTATGCTGCACCGCCGGGACAAGAGACAGGCGTGCTATATAGCGACCGCAAAATCGACACGGCATACCCTACCGACACGAAGGATAAGGGGAAAGCTATTGCCAAGGACGTGGATGACGACGACGATACCTCCTCCCTCTCATCTGATAGTTCAGACTCAGATTCAGACTCAGATTCAGACTCAGACTACGACTCCGACTCCGACTTCACCCCCGCCACCACCGACAAGACCAAAGCCCTCAAGCTCGCACGCCGCCAGATCAAACAGCGAAACCGCCAACTCAAAAAGGACCACAAAGCCAAGAAACGCGAACTCAAAGCCAAACACGCTGATACCAACACCAAGGGCAAAGGCAAAGCGGCGAAGAAAGCGAAGAAGGACCCACAGTACAAAGCAGCGAAGAAAGAGTACAAAGCGCAGAGGAAGGAACTGAAGAAAGAGAGATTGGCTGTGAAGAGGGAGTGGCGGGATGCGAGGGAGGAGGTGAAGAGGGAGAAGAGGGGGGTGAAGACAGGGATGGCTGCTGGAGGGATGTCGAGAGGAGAGGTTGAGAAAGAGGGAGAAAGAAACGAGGGGGTTTGGTTGGTGATTGAAAATCTGGCGCCTTAGATAGACGGTAGAGGGTTGTGTCAAGTTTGTAGAGTGTTGATGTACATGAAATTTGATTGGGAACATCCAACCCGCAGCCACATCAAAAATACACCGCACGCCACGAGCATTTTTGAAAAAGATCTTGTCAAAATGCAATCCGGTCAAGTACTTCATACAAAAAACTACAATAGTAACCTATGCCGTCTAAAAACGCTTTCACAGCAATCATCTTACTATGCACATATTTCTCTTCCACCTTCCTTCATCACCCCTTCTCTCTCTCAAGATTGTTTATGAAAGCATCCTGCTCATATCATTCCTAATCCTGTTGTAATCGAGCAGACCCTCAATCTGGCCCACAGCCGAGACAGCGACGTCCTTGTCCCACAGTCTGTTGCGGGCGAATTGCATAACGTCCTTCTCTGTGATTCGGCCGACGACGCGCTCCACCTCCTCGGGCGATAACCGGCGGCCGGTGGTGACGATTTGGCGGCCAATGTCCTCGGCAACGGCCGTGGTGCCGTCGAGGGCGAGGAGGATCGAGGCCTTGAGTTGGGCCTTGGCGCGCTCGACTTCGGCGGAGGTGACGTTCATGGAGAGGCGGGACCACTCGCGGAGGGTGAAGTGGACGAGGTCGTCGAGCTGAGTCAGGTTGGAGCTGGTGAGGTAGATACCCCAGAGACTGGGTTTGTTAGCGGATATTTATAATTATCATTCGATTATGACGTACCCAGTGTCCGAGTAGCTGGTGGAGAAGCTCATGAAGCTGTTGGCGAGGGCGTTTTGCGAGACAAAGTTGCTGAGCTTGCTGCCAAGGTAGTCGGAGGTACCCATGGCACGGTCCCAGTTACCGACGATAGCCTGTGTGACGAGCGCGGTGAAGTAGTCGGGGTCGCTCCAGCTAACACCCTCGACGGCAATGGCGATGTTGGCGGTGCCCATGGTGTCGTCACGGAGGCGGACCTCGGAGCCGATGAAGTCGGGCTTTGCCTTTTGCTCAGCAGCAGCGGACTTGGCGGAGTAGTCCTGGGGCTCTGAGGGGAGGTTGGCGAAGTACTTCTCGGCGAGGTCGACCAATTGCTCATGGGGAATGCCACCAGCGCCAACGAGGACCATGCGGTCAGCGGTGTAGTTGGTCTTGATGTAATTCTCGAGATCGGCGCGCTGGATGCTCTGGATGTTCTCCTTGGGTCCGAGGATGGTGCGGCCGAGGGGCTGGCCCTGGAAAGCGGTGGCGTGCAGGTGGTCGAAGACAACCTCCTCGAGCTGCTTGTCCACCTCTTCCTGTTCGCGGAGGATGACATCACGCTCGCGCTCGATGGCCTGGGCCTCGAGCTTGGAGTTCTGGAGGATATCGGAGAGAATGTCGACGGCGGCGGGGACGTCGTTGTTGAAGGCCTTGGCGTAGTAGACGGTGTTCTCGCGCTGTTTTGGTCAGTATCCGGCCCTGGAAATTCTTCGTCCCGTATGACGTACCGAGGTGTAGGCGTTGAGGTGGCCGCCCATGTTTTCTATCTCGAGCTCCAACTGCTGCTGTGTGCGCTTCTGGGTTCCCTGTGCCATGAATCAGCGTGCTGTCCCGGCCATTGCCATTGAGTGTCCGTACCTTGAAGGCAAGGTGCTCCAGGAAGTGGGCAGTGCCGTTGGTCCTGTCCGTCTCGGCGCGGCTTCCAGCGTCAATCCAGACACCGACTGTCGAAGTCTGGGCCCACGGGGAGTGCTCGGTAGCGATCTGCGCAGGCGGGTCAATTGCAGTCCTGTATCCTCCTACAGTGGCGGGCATACCGTGAAGCCGTTTCCGAGGGTGGTCGACTCGGTCTTCGCGCCGTAGGCCACGGGCGTGGCCAGGCCGCGGGTCAGAGGCGAGGCCCGCGATGATTTGACGGCGTTGATGGCGGAGCGCGAGCGCATGCTGCGCTGCAGGTTGAGGGCGAGCTGGCGGGAAGCCATTGCGTCTGCTCGCTGTGCAGGGGATGGGAGATGGGGCGGTGATGGGTTGGGGTGGATGTCGATACGTCCAGCTGCAGCGCGGCCTAGGTGAGGTGGATGAGTTTCGTCAAATCTGCGATCACGGGACTTTCCGGCTGCCACCGCTGGCCAATGAGGGCGGCAGGGACGTCAGCAATCGACATCCGAGGCATTGTCGTCAACTACGACTGCGATCCCGATATTGCTTCTTGCGACCTCCACGACCCCAAGCAGACAACCAGACTGCACAATGGCCTCCGTCATGCGTCCCGGCCTCCTCAGGCAAGCTTGCACGCCCGCCCAGGCCTCGCAGCGCATGCTGTCGACCGCGACCTCGACCCTCAACCGCCCGCTCGCCCAGTCGCTGCGACCAGCATTCCAGCGCTCAGCCATCCCCCAGTCGACCCGCATCGCCGCCTTCCACGCCACACAGCGCAACCAGATCCTGCCGCCGCTGCCCCAGAAGATCATCGGAACCACCAACGACCCCGTCCCCGTGCCAGACCCCGACTACGCCCACGGCAGCTACCACTGGAGCTTTGAGAGGATCGTCTCGGCCGGTCTGATTCCCTTGACCATTGCGCCCTTTGCTGCTGGATCGCTGAACCCGCTCTCCGACTCGATTCTCTGCGCTCTCCTCGTAGTCCACTCGCATATTGGATTTGAGTATGTACAATACATTTGTGTTGACTTACAGTGGCTAACGTAAACCAGGTCCTGCATCATCGACTACTTCCCCACCAAGCGTGTTCCCCTCGTTCGAAAGTCCGCCATGTGGGCTCTCCGCGCCGGAACTGTCGCATTGGGTCTTGCCCTCTACTCTTTCGAGACAAATGACGTTGGCATCACCGAGGCCGTCGCGAGGTTGTGGCACGCGTAGATACATTTTGGGACTTGTAATACAAATGCAGAGGGAGGGCTTTTTTTCTGATTAAAGCATCGTACCGTGTGGTGTATTGTGATTGCCCTACTTCTCGTTGTGCTTAACGTCATCAGTCTTCGTCATTCTAGCTCCGCCTTTCTACATGCTTGTCAAGACATGGTCTTTGCGACCTAGGAGATACAAAATCGTCTTGCTTGCATGTCCACCCAGAGGATATGCTGAGCATAGAGATTGGTTTATCTGAATGTGTAGTGCTATTCAACACTAAGATATTTGTCCGACTGATGATCAATTCATTGACCGTGGCTTAGACAAGTCCAGCCACGCCAACCTAGGAAAAGACTGAACAGTCTGGAGCCTACGTTGATGTTGGGTCACCTACTTTACATGATTTTGTCCTGATGTAGTCTGCAGACCTGTGCAGTTTTTTTTCTATGTGGTTGATACTCTCAGCGTGATCATGTCCTCCATACTGCCGCTACCTACTTGGTCTCAACCTTCCACTGCTCCCAGTGCGATTTCTTTGGGTTGCAGACAACGCCCAACGCCTTCCTCATCTCTTTCTCATCCACTTCCTCGTCCGCTTCATACTTCGCCCTGAGCTTTTCGGGTAGCACTTCAGACACGTCGTAGAAATACTCCAGCACAGATTCCATAATAAGGCTTTTTTCCACTGCGTTCCTCACTCCCAAAAATGATGTTTTGTCCGGTCCTAATCTCATAAGTAGCCCCCAGAACGGGCAGACCATGCGACAACATCCTATCGGACAGTATGCATTGGTCACGTCGAACTCCAGATAGTTGAGGCGGATCAATGGAAGCTTCTCGCCGTTTCTGAAGAACTTGGACAGATCATCGATATAGTCATCCAAGTCGTCTGCCATATTTTCTGTCGCCCAATCATGTACGTAATTAAGACGGGCGGTGGAAACCATGCTGTCGAATTCGCCATCATCTTCCCAAAGCGAGTGGTTATAAGCGTATGGGGACGAGCTTTCATCGGAACGTGTGCTAATAGCTACACTGATATTCTTAATCAGACGAGAAGCTGCAGCGGAGAACAGCCACCGGTCGTGAAACGATATTTGGCTGATGTTCGAATCTTTGCGAGCAGCATTGGAACATAGACCCGATCCTGCAAGTGGTTGCCTCTTCGTACACTGGTCCGGGAGTACGAACAAGTTCTTTCCCAGGTAGACTTCTTCAGCTTCGTCGTGAACTTGCTTGCAAGTCCGTAGTATGGCCAGTCGTGGAGCGCGGTAAGATTCCCAGTCCTTGAAACGTTTCTCGTTCTCGATAGCGTAGTCGTCAGGCGTGTAGAAGACCTTGCCAACAACCACCAGCTCTTCGTACACCATGATTCGGAGTTCGACAGGCAAGTCGAGGAACCGGAATGGAGTGAAGACGGTCGTGCCCTGAGGCGTCGTGGTCGTGATTGTAGTGACTGTTGTTATGGTCGTTGTCGCGGTAGCGGTAGTCTTTGTCGTAGTGACCACCGTGGTGTTGGTGGTCTGGGCCGGTGGCAGCAAGCTGATTGCGTCCATGGCTGTTGCTTTAATTACAGCTGACTTGAGCGTATTAGCACTGAGTCTGCAGGTGAACACAAACCCGGGCGGGGCGGTGAATTCGTCGTGTGGAGGTGGAGTGGAGGTAGTACGAGGGCAAGAAAAGGTCGAACTTGCGAAAGGACTATTAGCCTGGCAACTGCCAGTGAGAGGGTATACGAACACCTATAAAGTTATTTGTGTAGAAACAGGTCGAGCAGGTCACAAAGAAGGAGCTCGCCCAATTTCTTGCGCTACCTTGCCTTCCGTGGTCTTCGCTGCAGACTCGGTCGTCCAGTGCAAGCTTTTGAGAAGGTGATGGAGGGTGGAAGAGTGAGGGTGAGAGGAAGCCACGACCACAACCTACCTTAACCACGTGCGTGACGTGACGTAAGCGGTACAATGCGGAAGGAGCGCCCAGTCAACAAACAACATTCACTTCACACCTTGCACAACACTCAAATAGAAGCGGATATCTTTGATTATAAGTCTCGAAGAGAATGTAGGAACAGCAAAAGAGCCAGAACTTCGATAGCCACCATCCAGCCACACTCTAATCTTGAAAAACACAGCATATCAAACCAACGAGACTAGGCAGGAAGAGGACGGTATAGTGGTATAAG